GCTCTCAGATTCAATATTAGGGCACCTTTAAAGGCCCCAGGCGAGCGGTTGTACTGCGCTGGCAAAATTTCTTATCTACAGATGGGAGGCCCGTCGCCCGCTTTCAGATTCAATATTAGGGCACCTTTAAAGACCCCAGGCGAGCGGTTGTACTGCGCTGGCAAAATTTCTTATCTACAGATGGGAGGCCCGTCGCCCGCTTTCAGATTCAATATTAGGGCACCTTTAAAGACCCCAGGCGAGCGGTTGTACTGCGCTGGCAAAATTTCTTATCTACAGATGGGAGGCCCGTCGCCCGCTCTCAGATTCAATATTAGGGCACCTTTAAAGACCCCAGGCGAGCGGTTGTACTGCGCTGGCAAAATTTCTTATCTACAGATGGGAGGCCCGTCGCCCGCTTTCAGATTCAATATTAGGGCACCTTTAAAGACCCCAGGCGAGCGGTTGTACTGCGCTGGCAAAATTTCTTATCTACAGATGGGAGGCCCGTCGCCCGCTTTCAGATTCAATATTAGGGCACCTTTAAAGACCCCAGGCGAGCGGTTGTACTGCGCTGGCAAAATTTCTTATCTACAGATGGGAGGCCCGTCGCCCGCTCTCAGATTCAATATTAGGGCACCTTTAAAGACCCCAGGCGAGCGGTTGTACTGCGCTGGCAAAATTTCTTATCTACAGATGGGAGGCCCGTCGCCCGCTTTCAGATTCAATATTAGGGCACCTTTAAAGACCCCAGGCGAGCGGTTGTACTGCGCTGGCAAAATTTCTTATCTACAGATGGGAGGCCCGTCGCCCGCTTTCAGATTCAATATTAGGGCACCTTTAAAGACCCCAGGCGAGCGGTTGTACTGCGCTGGCAAAATTTCTTATCTACAGATGGGAGGCCCGTCGCCCGCTCTCAGATTCAATATTAGGGCACCTTTAAAGACCCCAGGCGAGCGGTTGTACTGCGCTGGCAAAATTTCTTATCTACAGATGGGAGGCCCGTCGCCCGCTTTCAGATTCAATATTAGGGCACCTTTAAAGACCCCAGGCGAGCGGTTGTACTGCGCTGGCAAAATTTCTTATCTACAGATGGGAGGCCCGTCGCCCGCTCTCAGATTCAATATTAGGGCACCTTTAAAGACCCCAGGCGAGCGGTTGTACTGCGCTGGCAAAATTTCTTATCTACAGATGGGAGGCCCGTCGCCCGCTTTCAGATTCAATATTAGGGCACCTTTAAAGACCCCAGGCGAGCGGTTGTACTGCGCTGGCAAAATTTCTTATCTACAGATGGGAGGCCCGTCGCCCGCTTTCAGATTCAATATTAGGGCACCTTTAAAGACCCCAGGCGAGCGGTTGTACTGCGCTGGCAAAATTTCTTATCTACAGATGGGAGGCCCGTCGCCCGCTCTCAGATTCAATATTAGGGCACCTTTAAAGACCCCAGGCGAGCGGTTGTACTGCGCTGGCAAAATTTCTTATCTACAGATGGGAGGCCCGTCGCCCGCTCTCAGATTCAATATTAGGGCACCTTTAAAGACCCCAGGCGAGCGGTTGTACTGCGCTGGCAAAATTTCTTATCTACAGATGGGAGGCCCGTCGCCCGCTTTCAGATTCAATATTAGGGCACCTTTAAAGACCCCAGGCGAGCGGTTGTACTGCGCTGGCAAAATTTCTTATCCACAGATGGGAGGCCCGTCGCCCGCTTTCAGATTCAATATTAGGGCACCTTTAAAGACCCCAGGCGAGCGGTTGTACTGCGCTGGCAAAATTTCTTATCTACAGATGGGAGGCCCGTCGCCCGCTCTCAGATTCAATATTAGGGCACCTTTAAAGACCCCAGGCGAGCGGTTGTACTGCGCTGGCAAAATTTCTTATCTACAGATGGGAGGCCCGTCGCCCGCTTTCAGATTCAATATTAGGGCACCTTTAAAGACCCCAGGCGAGCGGTTGTACTGCGCTGGCAAAATATCTTATCTACAGATGGGAGGCCCGTCGCCCGCTTTCAGATTCAATATTAGGGCACCTTTAAAGACCCCAGGCGAGCGGTTGTACTGCGCTGGCAAAATTTCTTATCTACAGATGGGAGGCCCGTCGCCCGCTCTCAGATTCAATATTAGGGCACCTTTAAAGACCCCAGGCGAGCGGTTGTTCTGCGCTGGCAAAATTTCTTATCTACAGATGGGAGGCCCGTCGCCCGCTTTCAGATTCAATATTAGGGCACCTTTAAAGACCCCAGGCGAGCGGTTGTACTGCGCTGGCAAAATTTCTTATCTACAGATGGGAGGCCCGTCGCCCGCTCTCAGATTCAATATTAGGGCACCTTTAAAGACCCCAGGCGAGCGGTTGTACTGCGCTGGCAAAATTTCTTATCTACAGATGGGAGGCCCGTCGCCCGCTTTCAGATTCAATATTAGGGCACCTTTAAAGACCCCAGGCGAGCGGTTGTACTGCGCTGGCAAAATTTCTTATCTACAGATGGGAGGCCCGTCGCCCGCTTTCAGATTCAATATTAGGGCACCTTTAAAGACCCCAGGCGAGCGGTTGTACTGCGCTGGCAAAATTTCTTATCTACAGATGGGAGGCCCGTCGCCCGCTCTCAGATTCAATATTAGGGCACCTTTAAAGACCCCAGGCGAGCGGTTGTACTGCGCTGGCAAAATTTCTTATCTACAGATGGGAGGCCCGTCGCCCGCTTTCAGATTCAATATTAGGGCACCTTTAAAGACCCCAGGCGAGCGGTTGTACTGCGCTGGCAAAATTTCTTATCTACAGATGGGAGGCCCGTCGCCCGCTTTCAGATTCAATATTAGGGCACCTTTAAAGACCCCAGGCGAGCGGTTGTACTGCGCTGGCAAAATTTCTTATCTACAGATGGGAGGCCCGTCGCCCGCTCTCAGATTCAATATTAGGGCACCTTTAAAGACCCCAGGCGAGCGGTTGTACTGCGCTGGCAAAATTTCTTACCTACAGATGGGAGGCCCGTCGCCCGCTTTCAGATTCAATATTAGGGCACCTTTAAAGACCCCAGGCGAGCGGTTGTACTGCGCTGGCAAAATTTCTTATCTACAGATGGGAGGCCCGTCGCCTGCTTTCAGATTCAATATTAGGGCACCTTTAAAGACCCCAGGCGAGCGGTTGTACTGCGCTGGCAAAATTTCTTATCTACAGATGGGAGGCCCGTCGCCCGCTTTCAGATTCATTATTAGGGCACCTTTAAAGACCCCAGGCGAGCGGTTGTACTGCACTGGCAAAATTTCTTATCTATTGATGGGAGGCCCGTCGCGGCAGACCAAGTTTTAGGCAGTATAAACATTCGCACAACCCAATTTTTCATCCGGCCCCAAAGCACGTTACACCGACACCGGCCTTACTACATTCCGTTCACCCCTAAAATGACAGTGCGGTGGGAGCTACGCGCTTGCCGGACCAATCAGCCACCTCCCTTTTATCACCTGACCCATAGCCTCCTCTATACTGACAAAGCCTGGCAGATCGCCACGAAACGCGGCCGCCAAAAGTGAAAAGGTAGAGTGGCAGACAAGATTCATGTAACGGGCGCCCCGCTGCGGCGAGACGCCGAAACACACCTCTTTTCAGCGATGGAATGTCCGCTCGCTACCGCTTCTTTCTCTTCGGGTTTGGAAACCATGTTTCAGGCCCTCGCCGCTGCAAAACCTGTGCGCTGAATACCGGAATCCCCGAGAAATACTCTGAGCTACCAGATCCTCGCGCTGCGAATCTGCGACCGGGCACTCTATGGCTTCGTCATCAAACTGCCGCAGCCAGGCTTTTATCATAGAGGAGACTATGCCTCACCCCATTCACTGCGCGCGGGTATGCGCAAGAGAGGGTGTTCACATGGCAAAAGATAGAAGTGTGGCTGGTCCAACGAGCACGTAGCTTCCACACCAACGGGCGGTATGGAGCGAAAACAACTTTTGTACGAGTTTTGAGAGACGGGCCAATCTTCTAAGGGGAGAATAGCGACGTCCGGGTACGAAAACGAAGGTCCGAGCAGAGGGGGCTTTCTCCTTTCCCTCCTTTTGAACTGTTTAGTAACGCTGCCAGGCTGCGCAACTTGTAAGCCGAAGAGGAAAGGTAAGAAGAAAGATGTTAAAAAAATCGTTTCATGGCCCCTGTTATTGAATTTCAAGTGCCCTTTAAATGTCCGTCTCGCAGGTGTAACACTAACTGTTCTCGTACCGTAATATTTTTAATGCTTTAGCATACGGACGCTCGTTTTGTGTCTGTCAGTTTCTCAGCGCCGGACAGAAATGGAGAAAGAGTGTTGAGGGTGACGCATGCGACTCTCCTATTGGTCCAAATCCCTGACGTCACACGCGTCACCCTCTCCCTCTCTCCCCGGAGCTGACGAACTGACAGACACCGCCGGGTTTTCGTCAAAAGGACGGTTTTCGTTTTCGTCAAAGGAGCGTAGCACAGCTGGCGCAGAGCGAGAGAGGAGGAGTCGCGGCGCAGATGAATTCGGGCTGCACAGTTGACGCTCTGCTGCGATGTGTGTGTGTAGTTGAAACGATGGATGCGGTTCCATCCACTAGTCATATTGCTGTCGTGATAAACGACGGGAAAGGGATCGCGCACGGACGGAAATGGGTAAAAAGGGGGTAAGAACAACTAATCCTAGCGCATTTCCTCCCAATACACCCCATTAATTGTCAAGTATTTTTTTTATGTTGGACGTATTGTTTAGCAGGAACACCCAAAACTGGACTAAACATTTTTTTCCTCTGATTCTTTTGTGTATAATTGATCTAATATTCACCTTCTCTGCGCTGGCATCTTTGTTTACTAGGCTGTGTCGGGCACTGTAATTATGCGCAGCAGCTCTTTCACGGAATATCTTACGCAGGGCATGTGTCCACAACCCAATGGGCAGCGATTTTTAGCCAGGATTATAGGCACTGTAGAGGTGTATAGCTCCCTTTCAATGAATATATATGTGATGATGCTTGATTACTACGCGAGTCAGCACAATTCTTTTTTTAAAGAAAGCTTACCGTGTTCAGCTGTTCTTGACTGGCCCCAACAACAATGTTGATAGGAAGGAAACAAAGCCCACGAAAGACGTTATTGCAGGCAGCGCCAATCACGGTCTGGGTCAGCTGGCTGGACGTCAGCAGTCCTCCCTTCGTAAAGATGTCGATGAAGTTCTGAGAAACCGACACAAAAATAACCGGATGTAGACCTGTCCGTCGAGCGCAACAATCTGTCCTTTTTCCGAATTACAACTTCGCATCTCTGAATGACGTCCTTTTGTAAGTGCTTAACCTTCGAACTCAATAAGGCAGAGTGTGTAGGAAGGCCAATGACGCCGTTATTTGAAGTGAAATATTGAGGATATGACTGCGTAAGCTGAGTCGAAGTACACTTGGCAGTCTTCTGATTGGTCGATACATTATTTGAATCTGATATGGTCATATTGGAAGATTTTAACCATGCACAGGTGTTTTCGAGTAATTTGACTCAGAAAAGTTGGGGAAAGGTAATTTCTGCCATTCTCAAAACAGAAATATGACTGAACGCATCTACGAATTCGTCAAGGCGCAGCGAGCTTAATATAGAACGGAAAACAGATATGATGATTTTTTTTAAATGCATTAACAAATCCACAATCTGCAAAAAAAAAAAAAAAAAAAAAACTATCTAGATTTGTGTATATTTTGAGTATCGGCAGTTTCCAATATGACATCTTGCGGCCGCGCTTGGCCACACATTTTTATGAAAAATAAAATTAATTGCACGACGGACAGAACTACTGCCATGTGAGAGTATTCGTAAAAGAGATGAGCGATTTGTTTTAGTTTAGTTTGTTCTCAAAAACTAAACTCACTGCATGACAATTTTTTTTTTCCTTTTTGGTCAATATTGATGCCGCGTTCCCCTTGAATTTTTTTAGCCTTTGTATCCAAGGAAACGTACTTAGTAGTACCCGTTTATTTGGTGGTCTCGCTCAAAGTATGACGTAGCTGTCAATACTGAGCTCACCACCCAAGAGGAAAGTGACGTGGCAATGTTTCGGTCTGCATTTTAATTACGAATATTCTACTATTCTATTAAATTCACCACTTTCCGTGACCTATTCCTGCGGGATTTTCTTCACAAAACGTGACTCGGCAGAAATCGTCTGCCCGCCTCTCCGGTCGCAATCAGTGATATTGATCCTTTCATGAAGTAATTAATAATGTCCCATAACGTACCCCGTTCACGTCCATATCAATCACAAGCATTTATTTTTCTAAATTCAATGCCCGATGTTACTTTACTCATCCTTTCCTATGTAATGAATATCAGGTCTGTATGTTTGACTTTCACATGTTTTTAAAGAACCTCAACTCTTTAAATATATATGCCCCGAGGATACAATAAATATACAAATAATTAAGTCAATATATATATATATATATATATTTTTTTTTTAAGTAAGTTTTGGGGTGCACCGTGAAGACACTTACGGCAATTGGTTCAGCGAACGGGGCGAGCAAAGTCAGGGGAGTTTGAATGTGCGTGATGTCTGCGACGGGCGCCATGCCAACCACGAGATTCACCTGGAACGATAAGGCGAAACGGTCGGACACAATAGACCTTTTTCAAAATCACGAAGACGGGAAAACCATATCTTTCATAAGCCCGTCCCTTGTATTAAGATACATGACTTGAGGATGCAATAAACAGGTAAATAATTGAAGGCATACATACCCAAATAAATACATAAACACCTAGATACATAAATGGCGCTGACTGTTTCAACGTCGACCTTGAAAACAATTTGAAATATTATTCTGACGCCCGTGACGGCATTTCCCAAACCCGTGAAAATATTTTACTTTTTTTTTTTTATCAACTTGACGTCCCGCGTTAAAATATTTCTTCCTTCATATTTTGACATCTCAAACTTAGAGCTTTGGAGCTTTGGCCAATTCGGCGTTCCTATCAGACTGGAAATAGATAGAAAGTGCTGGTCAAACAAACATCATCTTGCCTGCATTCGGCATCGCGATTTGACACGCTTTCTTCGAGAACATATTCGCAGTCGATTGCAGTTTGAACATTTGAAGCGATGTTGAATGCACAAAAAAAAAAAAAACTTTCAAAGTACATGAACGATCAGGCCGCACGTGACGTTTGCATGTTTGTGCGCAACATTACAGAATGCAGCTCCGCTGTTTTTTATGAGTTATTTCACGTGGTTTATACAGATAAAAGAGCTCAACATCGTGTAATAAAATCTGCAATTGAATGGGAAATCCGTGCATCTCGTACAACCGCGCCAGAACATTCGTCGGTTCGCACCAGTCAAGAGATATCAAGGTGACAATGCTTGTAATCGTTACCTTTTATTCATAATCCCGATCGTTCCGTAGTTCACCTGCTCTTTATACACGAAGCAAGCAGAAAATGTAAACTGAACAACGAACTCTCGAAACCGCGTAAAAATAAGGCGGGAGCCAGAGGCCAAGCGAGATTGCAGCCAAATGAAGACGCGCTCGCAAGATATGAAGGCACAAACAGATTGCACAGTTTCTTAGTGTTACGTAAAGAGCAAGCAATTGGGCCTTTTTATGTTTATGATTGGCTCAGCGATGATATAACAGGTGCAAACACATTACGAACATCATGGTGGTGCGCTGTGCACTCTCAACAAAAGGGTTGTCGTAGGGTACTACACTTGGCGTAGTCAGAAGCCGTCACCGTCAGAAGCCGGATCACTTGCGGCAAGCTGTGCTTGCCGCAAGTGATCCGGCGTTTTCGGTTGACAGCTGCGAGGCGAAGCATCACCGATTTAAGCGGCGTCGGTTCCGATCGTTCAACGCTCCTGCTCACCTGTTAGCATTCGTTATTCACTTTCAAGTCACTGGTAATCCTCACCGCGTCTGTGCACGCACTTTGCGCTATTCACCGCACGGAACACCCTTCAACTGGCTATGCGACTGATCCCATTTGGACGAGAGGCCGAGAACCGAACCAGACCGAACCCTTTGTGGCTGCTACGTGGAGCCATGGAACGCCTCCATGTTTTTCACTCAAATAAGTAGACACATAAACGCGCGACTTCTTGAATTGGGCGGTGACACGCGCCACCTAACGGACAGCGCTCAAACTAAAGAAAAAAGAAACCAGCAATTCTTGCAAAGAGCGCCTCGCCAGACAATGCCGTATGTACACATCCCACGCCACACTTCACTCATACGCGACATACAAACATCACAGCATTTCATACATCAACGCATTCAGAAAGAGCACAAGATACAACATCACATATTGACACTCTACATTCCTATACACACGTCTAGTCGACACCACCAGCTTATATACTGCTGTATTTTATGTGACCGATTAGGATGGTGACCACTGTCATATTTTGCATCAATACGAAAAGACTGTGCAAGATTTAGCCGTATATATTCTTTTCCTCTACTGTCCTTAGGAAAGCGCTCGTAATTGTAATGTAGGGCCATTGCAAAAGTGAACTGCAGGTTATAAATAAGTTTGAATAGTTGCTACACGTCACATTTTGAACAGTTTCGTTTTCTCGCTTGCCTACACTTCAAGTATACAGAAGCCTGTTTAATTAAATGTATTAATTATCGAAAACATTTTCTGCAATCACAACTTTCTGAACACACCGATGCATTTTCTTTTCTCTTTTTACATATCCAGACTGACTTTAGCGGCGGTTGGGTACACGTTGAGTACACTGAGCACGCGCAGGTGATTTTAGCGAAGCCCGTCCGCCGGTCCTTTCCGAAGCGTTATTTCAGTTTTCTTCTTTTCGCTAAATATCCGTTCTATGCGCTCGCGCCAAGAGGACAGTGCAGAATTGCTGCTTTCGAGCCCGTGCCTTCACCTGCAACGAACACGAAATACGTATGCTAAATTATCTAAATCCTGGTTGAGACAGTAGTGTTTGACTGCGTGCGTCTGACTTCGTGGCGGCAGCAAGAAATCAGGACATCCCTGCTGCTTATATCGCGTGCCAAGATGATTCCTTGAATTGGATTCCACGCTTGATACGAAGCACAGACGTGCCGGTGAGTGGCTTTCGGTTCTCGACGCAACACTGTCAAACGCTAGTGTCTGAACCGGCTTTCTTTGAAGCATTTTTTTATCGAGTATGCTCGATGAAATGTGCCAAATGAACCAGAGAAGGCGAATCATGTACCTCGAGACAGAGAAATAGTGAAATACACGGACATGCTCCCAAATATCTGTGTACGTTCGTCCTGTCCGGCCTCAGTCGTGGTGTTCATTGCTTCATACTTCACTGCACTTGAAAACAAAACATTGGGTACGACAGGCGCGCAAGTTCGGCGGAACCGAGGAGGCCAGTTGCAACTGATCTGCACGCAGAACTGACCGATCACACCTTTATTGAGAGCACGCTCTTTACTGAACCGCACAATAAAAGACGACGAGAGTATCTCGTCCGGCGAACATTCAAGTCAACTCACGCCTTGAAGGTAAACATGTTCGGCAGATATCTGCCTGGTTGGGTGAATTTAAATGTAAAGAATAAAGAAATGCGCCAACCAAAAAGTCGAAAAATTGTCCCAACGTTTCGAAACAGTTCGTTTCTTCCTCAGGGGCGACTAAACGGGATAATAGCTTCTTTGTCTTTCTTTGAACTGGCTATCTCTTCTTCTTCATTGTCGATTGCTGGTTGTCTTCGTTTCGCCTGCGCCGTCTTGATTGTATCTCGTAACCCATGAACATATAAACTGGGTAAGGTGCCTAGAGACCTATTGATGTTATTTGCGGTGTTTTGAATATGCCAGGATTCTATCAGCTGTCTTCTGCGTAGGTTCGTCTCAGTACCCAGAATGCTTGCATCTTCAAATCCGATACGGTGGTCATTAACTTCACAGTGCCCCGCCTCCTACATTGGAGAAACTAAAAACGTCCAAGAACGGCTCCGTCAACACAAAAATGACGTACGCAACTTCGACCGCGAACGCAGTGCTCTGGCGGAGCACTGTGAAGTTAATGACCACCGTATTGGATTTGAAGATGCAAGCATTCTGGGTACTGAGACGAACCTACGCAGAAGACAGCTGATAGAATCCTGGCATATTCAAAACACCGCAAATAACATCAATAGGTCTCTAGGCACCTTACCCAGTTTATATGTTCATGGGTTACGAGATACAATCAAGACGGCGCAGGCGAAACGAAGACAACCAGCAATCGACAATGAAGAAGAAGAGATAACCAGTTCAAAGAAAGACAAAGAAGCTATTATCCCGTTTAGTCGCCCCTGAGGAAGAAACGAACTGTTTCGAAACGTTGGGACAATTTTTCGACTTTTTGGTTGGCGTATTTCTTTATTCTTTACAACTCACGCCTGTGCGTAGCTTCCTGTGCTTTTCTAGTTAAGTTCCTCGAGCACGACGCCAGCTGCCAGCTGTTTACTGCTGGACATGGTAAAACCCGCGACGGAACCAAAAAGGACAACCGCGATGCTTTTTATCTGCCTCGGGTTTTAGCAGGTGCCTACCAAGGTTGCCTGTACTTGTTTGTTTTCTGCCAGTTTAGGCGAACTGAGCCACACGCTTGTTCCGACCGGTTCAAATTTGAATAAATGATAACCAACGCACAAAAAAAAAAACAAGTTTCAAGTACTTCTTGAGATTTTTGAAGTGACTTTTACTATTGAACGACTGCATGCACTTGAATGTTCAATTCAAGAGTTTATAAAACGCGACTACCCCATGCTTGTCACCTGCCAACAGGGTGCTAACTCTCAATGGCTCGAGCCCAGTGGGTAGTTAAGTAAGCCTGTGGGGTAGTTACAGCCGTCAAAACGCACGATGACGAGGGGGGTGCTCACTTTTCTTAGAGTGTAGTTTATAAATAAATATTGAACAGTTTCTCGTCTTGATTGTTCGTTTTTTATTCCCGACATGTCTCCCTCGATAAAAGACGTTTATGCGCCCGAACGAGACAATTCAACAAAGTGCACCTATATATTGTAGAAACAAATTGACAAAAGAAAAAACATTCGCCTAATTTGTTACATAAACATGCACCCAAAAGTATACGGCCTTCTAATAATCAGTGCTTTTGTGTGTACGGGTTTATTATTACTTCTTTTCGTCATTCCTGGGTGTTTTGCGAATTTTTTTAATCCACAGATTCGGTATTTATCGTTAACAGTTCCTTTTTTCCCATCACACAAACAGTTGAATGTTTATCGGGAATTAAAGCAAATAGGACAGGGGCATTGGGATCCCCATCCTCCTCAGAACATTCACAATTTCCCGAACACATGAAAAATGTTTCGGTACAGATAAGAAAAAAAAGACGCGAGACAAAACGCAGTTTTAGTAGATCGTTCCGATACTTCCGATACGAATACCTGATACTCCGCCGACGCCATTGCGCATGCATCGTATCGCTAGCATTTATCGTTACCGGAGATGTGCGAACGATTCACTAAAACTTCCAAATAAGCGTTTTTTCCTTGGAAAGAAGCAGCCTCGTTGACACTTCAATTAGGGGATGTGTTCCGGACCAACACAAACTTAAGCTGAAGATTAAGGTTTCTCTCAGTAAAGATTTGGATTTTCTTATTCAAGGAAAGCTCTAGTTGTTTTTGTTGTTTTCGCTTTTCCTCGATTTTTATGAAACATGCTCGGGGACAGTTTCCGGTTTTGATTCGGGAGTTTTAGCAGGAGGGGGATGGCGAACGCCTGGGGGGCCCCAAACAGCTTGGCGCGTCGCACACAGCATGCGCGGACCTTCTACGCATGGGCAGCGCGACGCCCCAACATATTTCTGAGACCCAAGGCTTCAAGGGCCCCACTCGAAAACCTTCGATTGGGTATCTACCCGAAACACAAAACCATAGTTATGATGAATGAGGCTGCGATTCCGTTAGTGCCAAGCGGGGAAGTTGCTGTTAAGATTAGCTTGCACAGTGCAGTAAGTATACTACTTCTAAGCTGGGATCTTTAATATGTCTTGTCTGCTTTAATTCTTTGAGTTAGCATAAGGACTCAAGGTGGTGTATCAAGGCACGCTTTGCAACGCGATTATTGCTCGTGCCTCAAGGACCATTCGAAGCTAACATTTTGTTTAAATGTTCTTTTTTAAATATGTAAATTCTGATAATTAAAAACGGCACCGTGACAAAACAGCACACGACAAAACAGCACCGTAAAAACAGGATGCGTCAGAACAGCACGATTTCAAAATATCACAGCGACAAAACAGCGTACGTCCAAATAACCCACCACAAAAAGCACAGCGTCAAAAACAGCACATTGACAACATAGCCTGTGGCGTTAAAAATGCATGTGCCATACCAGCTCTGGACAACGGAAGGGTGTTATGTATAGCAAAATACAGTCGCTACAAATTAGAAATTACAATACTATATGCCTGGCTGCTAACGGTTGCCTTATGCTGTCAAGCATGTTTTTAACAATTCTAATGTTTTGTATAATTAGACCACATGGTCATGTTCCCAAACATATAATTAACTCGCATTAAAAATTATTCAGTGTTTTACACCATATGTTTTTGTGGCTCTTTAAACTCAACCTGAAAAAAGCGTCCCTATTAAAAGAGTATTCTTGAAAGCTTCATTGCTGCCCGTTGTAAGGTTTGCGAATTCCAAGTCACAGAGGAGTCTTTGTTTATAAAAAAACAATGGATTTTTTTAATACTTCACTTAGAACGATAATGCACAAATATAATCAACAAGGTACCATCGCATATGTTCCACTAAAATTAAGATCTTTAGGGAGTTACAAATTATTTGTACCTTGACAGTAGAGGTAGGGTAAAATATAACTGTACACGTTATAAATACGCACACTCTCCCAACATACCAATAACGCAAGGTGAAAATAATAAATAAAATATACTTTACGTGGGGGGCTTTTTTTTCCCAAGCGACGTTTAGACGCTGTGCTGTTTTGGCATGTGCATTCATGTACCTGTGATGCATTGAGCTAGAGCTGTTTTATCGCGTGGTTTTTTACGTATGCTGTCTTGTCGCCGCGCTATTTTGACGACGTGCTGTTTGGACCGTGCTGTTTGTGTCGTGTGATGTTTTGACATGTGCTGTTCTGGCGCGCTCCTCCAAAATACATCTCCGACATCCGGCCTGAAAAAAATTAACTTAAAACTAAACAGGCACACAACGTTTCAGACAGTCATAGTTAATGCTAAAATAACAGTTTGCAAAATCTCACCTTGTCATTATACGCTAGCCTTGTGGAGAGTAGAACCAGCGTAACGGTGAATCCTTGAGACCAGGTAAGGAGGCTGATTTCACCAAATCCCGTCTGGGAAATTATGTAGTCTATTGCAGCTGCAAGGTCGTACCGGCCGATCTTGTCGAAACTGAGCAAAGGAGTGGCAAACAAAATGAACACACAGTTGCACCACATTTGTACCGCACAACTTACTTAACTTTAAGAAAATCATATTACGATTTCTTATATATATATATATATATATCTTGGCTACTTCTGGATTGTCGAGCAACACTGTCGTTAGAGCTTCGTACACTCATTACTACGTACGATTTATTAATCGGAATTTACGGTTCCAAAAAAATTTAAAGATATCTCGGGCAGTATTTAGGTGTTGCATTGCCAAATACAGTGCAGATGCACCGTACGTGGCCTAATTTTGCTTCAAAAGTTTATCTTTCGAGAATTTTAATTAAAAAAAAATCGCTTGTCGGGCACCTTTCTTCTATCCCATTTATATATCTTCAAGTTTCCTTCCCGTGTTTAGGGTTTAAACATTATGTTCTTTTGACCATCACAGGAGATCCAAAATTGCCATCATGCGCGACCTAATCCCTCAGTTGGAAACGTCAACACAAATCATAACACAATATTTTTTTATATATATATAAACGTGAAGAAAAAAAACGACCGTCGAAATCTGTTTTTTGCGGTTACATCCCAGCAGGAAAATTGTGTTTTGGGCTCGGTGGTGTTCAGACATTGAACGGCCGGACTGCGGGGTGCTTCAACTTTAGCGATTTTTGCCGGAGTCGTGTCGCCTCACGATTTCTGAAGCAAGTGAACAGTCCTTTACTCCCCTGCACAAACCGGGCAAGTGTAACTTTCGCGGATATTTTTTTTTTTGACAAGTCTGTAAAGTTTAAAATAAGAACACCCCGCATTATGTCCGTTAGGCCGTATAACTCAGATGTACAGGCCGCATTAATGCACCTTCCGCTATTTTTTTTTTCAACAAGTTAGGAAAGTCTGAAAACAAATCACCCTGCTTTTTTTGTTTAGGGACTCTAGGGAGCTTAAAAACATAATATATCTTCTCTGTCAAGCGCATATATTAAACTCTTGCTCTAAAAAAAAATCTATCTTACAGAAAATATTTCAGCGATAGACTCGATCGTTCTGTAGACGTAAAAATATCTTAAAGCAGATAGTTTGCCAGATTATTTTTTGACAGTTCCGATTTCGGAAATATTTGGTTTGTGTAAACTTTGCAACCTTTTGGCATAAAACCCCTTTTATATTCGTTTGCCTTGACGTGTAGTGACATGCGCCCAGTTCTGCGCGCGCGCGCATGGACCTTTTGGTCTGTAATGCAGTTGTTGCCGGCGACAACCAGCTGGCAGTGTCTGTGGCGACGCTGCTCCATTTTAACGCAGAACTGATGTCTTACTGAAGCTAGCTTCGATTAAGCATTGAAGATAGTCAGCGAAGCGTGCAAGGTAGCAGAGAATATGTCGGCTGCCAAAAAACCTGCGCCGATCGATAGATCTTTGCGAATTTAAAACTTTCCAAAAGAAAAAAAAAAAAAAACAACCTAAGAGAGGATTTTAAGACGCTTCGAGAGGACCGCCAGCTGCAAAAGCTTCGAAGGCAATGCCATGAAAAACTGAGGGAGACGAGGAGACAAGAGCGGCCGGGGACGTCAGAACGTCAAACCGTTTCTGGTAGACACAAAACTAGCTGCCAAGGCCTCTACTCCAAATTCGAAAGCGTCACATTTCCAAACTCCTGCGTCCATCGTTTCGTGTTCGAAGTGTGACTGTAAACAAAGGCAGCTAGCTTTTTTGTCTAGCCACTAATCATGCCAGTCATAGTTCGTTGTTTCGACGTGCCCACGTGATCTAGACTATTTTCTCTCAGCTTCTTCACGCACAGCCCCCAAAGAAACGAAAAGTTGACATGACGATGCTGCCGCGGCGTCGCGGTGAAGGTTTAAACTGGAAATAGCGTCCGCTGCGTTCTAGTTACACGCAATTCTGCATATGACGGCTTAATCGATAGATTCAAATAAAACTGCCTACTTGCATTCCAACGTGCAACACCTTGGAGGTACGTGGGTAATCATTAATACTAAAAGCGGCCTTTACTTCCCACATTGTGCAATGCATGAGGTACAGTATTTATGCGTAGATCGGTTATATTTCTTTAAAAGACATCTAACAATTGTTTCAGGGAGTGAGTACAAGTATATGGTTTATGTACTTTCCCGTTAAATATAGCGGGGAAATGTACGACTCGTAACACAACGACTTCAGGCCGTAACGAGGCATCACACGACCCGATGTCCTGCTATATTGTGACGTGATATGACATCGCGGTTTGGAGTGACGTCAGATCATGTGGTGTTTATCTCTCGCTATATTTAGCGAGAAACTGAAGTCACACTGTGAAGTTGTGCTTTCCAGTGGCGTCATATGCTCACAGGTCATATGCTCACTCCTCACTCCGCATGACGCCATTGTGTCACCTGATACTATGATGCAGTGGCGTACCAACTTGTTTTTGAGTGAGGGGGCAAACCAGACCCATACCCCCCCCCCCCCCCCCCAGTGCCGGGGGGAGGTGCCCTTGGTATCCCATGGGCGCCGCCAGCCACTGTTAGCCCTGCCCAGTGGCGGCTCTTTAAGGGGGGGGGGGGGGGGCAAAACACATGCCTTGCCCACCCCCACCCCCCCACACTCTGAGAAATGTGGGGGCAAGCGCCCCCCTTGCCCCCCCCCCCCCCCCCGGTTGGTACGCCGATGCTATGATCTCGCGTGACGTAGATTTCCCGACTGAATTTAGCGGAGAAATCCACAGACAGACAGGTGGCCTATCAAATTTCTGGGTGTTCGGCTGAGTTCCGCCAAAAAGACTTACATGCTTTAAAATTCGAATTCATCCAGCAATTTACCTGGCTCAGCTGCTTGCTCATAAGAATGTATGCTTACTGGTCGTACGTAAGAACACAAGCGTACGGTTATGCAATTAATATTTTAGGAACCATTTCAGCGTGCGTGGCGAATGTCGCCCTGATGCCAGTTGGAACAACATATATGTTTTTGGTATTGTTGTTGTTGAACAGGGTAAAAATGCTCAGACAACAGACCTGATTACGCAGTGAACATGTGATAACTTGCCTCCATTCCCAGAATTCACGGTCCCTGGTAGTGAGCGTCTCGTGGTGATTAGAGTATGGCGTTCCCCTGGTGTTGATGAGCCAGACGTCAAAACCGGCATCGGCGAGGAGAAAACCTGTAAATAGGCCATTAACCTTGCTACCACATTAAGGAACAGTTTTTTCATGTTTATTTAACCAGGTTCTGCTTACAGCGCTCTTGAGGCACTGATAAGGTGTCTTACCAATACCACTTACAAAACAAGACACGCCCCAAAACAGGAAACAACGACTGCAAAAGGCGGTTTCGAACTGACTCATGTAATACGCGTTCGGATTCCAGGGTAGATGTGACAACAATTTCCTGATGTTTGCAGTAGCTACTAGGAGTTGTAATGAGAGTTTGTACAGGTCTTTAGTAAAAGGTGGTGTTAGATACCGGGTTATACTGGCTAGGTTTGAACCAATTACTATATTCTAGTGCTGGTAACCATTACCCTATTTACTCGCACAATGAACGCACTTGCGTAATGAACGCACCCTTCAAGTCGGCTCTCAAAATTTTGACTTTTTTTTTTTCACTCGCGTAATAAACGCACTCCACACTCGGACGTCAAAACTTTGAACCCCTCCCCCACGCGCGCGAAATGAACGCACTTTTTTTATCCTGGAGCAGCGAGATCGCGAAAGCATGGGCAGTTGGGCGAGCAAAACACCTTGCAAAAGGCGTTAAAAAAATTCGCGAAGATCCTACGGAAGCAAGAAAAAAAAAACATGGAGGGGAGGTTTTTTTTAGCACAGCCCAGTCTGGACTTCGGGTTCGCGCGCCGCCGCGCGCAAGGAAGTAAGAAAGGGAAGCGGAGAAGCGCTCTAAGCGAACGAAACAGCTTGCGAAAGGCGGCAAAAAGAATAAAAAAAAGAACCACGGAACTGAGAAAACCAAAACAAAGAGGAGCTTTTTTTTTCTTTTTTTTTTGCACAGCGCAGTTTGGTTACGAGGAGTCGCGCGCCGCGCGCAAGGAGGTTTTCTTAGCGGAGAAGCCCTCTAAAGCAAACGAAACAACTTGCGAAAGGCGGCAAAAGAAACAAAAACAAAACAACGGAACTGAAAAAAGAAAAAGAGGAGCTTTTTTTTTCTTCTTAAGGAGATGAGAAAGATAAGCGGAGAGCCCTCGCCTAAGCAAACAAAACAGCTTGCGAAAGGCGGCAAAAAGAACCCAACGAACTAAGAAAAAAAGAAAACAAAGATTTTTTTTTTCCACAGCTTAGTTTAGTTGCGGGGTCGGCCGCCGCGCGCAGAGATAAGAAGTTACTTCGATTTTTTCAGGATAAAAGGTCCGTTCATTATGCGAGTAAATAGGGACGCAAAAATTTTACTTCACGTAATGAACGTCCCCCCCCCCCCCCCCCCCAACTTTGCATCGATTTTTCGGGAAAAAAAGTGCGTTCATTCTGCGAGTAAATACGGTACTATTTAGGGTTGGTAAGATCTTGGTTTCATCGTGAATCAAAAGACAGAGGCTGGAAGCCTTACAAAAAGGATACTCACTTATTAAAGACGCAAAGTCACGGCGAATTTATTATACTTGGTCATTTTAGCCGATGATAGTACACAAACAGAAAGATTACAAACTGCCCGACGTTGCGTTTCTGAAGCTGTTTGGCTGGCCCTAAGCGGAGCGAAAGTTCGTCTGCTTCTTTTTGCAGGAATTGTTGTGACATCTGAACTCCGAGCTCTGCTTGGCTTGATTAGAAGGATAGTGCGTAGACATCAAGGCAGCTAGCATTCAGGTCTACCTTTATCCTTCCAATCAAAGCGAATAGGAGATCGGCACACTTATGTGACCGCAACCGTTGCGCGAGAAGCAGACGAACTTGCGCTCCGCATTGGCTCGTAACGTCAAGCTTCGCCTTGACTTGAGTCATGAAGTATGGTGCATGGAACGAGTCTCCAATGACTGTGTTTGCCGCGTCTAAAAACGTTGTGCTTCGATTTCCGCTGATGGCGTGTAACAGCAAATGTGGTGAATGTCTCAAGCGCCTGTTCCGCAGCTGGTCGCGCTCTCTAGCTTGGAAGTCCACAGACAGCAATTCGGACGCCACGACAAAAGTGACGCTCTCGTTCGCTCTGCTTGCCGGAACAGGCTAAACACACCATTCGGAAAGCGTTCCGGGCACCGTACTAGAGATGAAACGAAGTGTACCAGCATATGCGCCAAGCACTTACTAGTTTTTTGTTAGCAGATACCACTGGCTTTCTTTGAAAAAACGTTGGAAGAACAGTTACTTTCTGACGGATACTCACCTGGGCTTTCCAGGGGATTGTTCATGACATAATCTGCCGCCGACGAGATGACACCGTGCACACACAAGACCGGGGTTCGGGTTTGGCCCTGACCGGTTTCTGAGAGACCGTGAGGGATGCGGTCAATCTCCAGGATGTAGCCGTCCTCCGTGGTCACGTGGTGCCGCTCGGCCGGATAACCCCATTTCTTGATCAAACCAATCTGCGCCGCACGGTTAAGACTGTTAGCCCACTGCAACTTTGAGCACGTGTAGTGAAAGCCTACGCTTCAGAACCTATAGGAATCCTTGATCAATCTCCACTCCTGCCTGTTTAGACCTGGGTGAGCATTGCACCGGCGTGCAGTCGTGTGTCCCTAATGCGTAGTGCACGTGACAGACCCTGGCTAACTGTGGTACTGTGGTGGCAAAATTTATTATCTGCAGCGGGCACTCTAACCCGCATTGGGGACTTACTATTATGCGCCGTTTAAACAGGCATACTGAGGGTAAAAGTAAAACAACCTCCTTTGAGCACGGTTTATAACCCCAGCATATCTTGTATAAAAGGTGAATGTTATATCTGCATAAACTAAAGCTTTTCTGCGCCAACAGCACGGTCAGGAATATTCCGTTTCACCTTACAGCGGAAGCTACGAGCCATACTAACTTCGCCAGGCGATGAAAGAATGGGCAAGCACTTGGCAGGCCGGGAAGAAGGAGACACACCTCATCTCCTCTCTAACGTTCCAAGTGCTCTCCCTTTCTCGCCTCGCCCCATATTGCCCTCCTCCACCGTCCCGCCTTGTTAGTGCTCGCCCTCTCTTTTCGCCTGGCGTTGCCTTCGCATGCACCGCACACAACTAGTAGCACGGGTAAAGCTAATCCAGAGCTGTGAACCATAGGGAGTATTCACTGGCGGTCATAGCTAAGCTCGCTGCTGCATGGTTTTGTACGAATTTTGAGTAGCAAGTTAATCTTCTATAATCTTCTAGAGGGAGAGTAGCGACTTCTGGGGAAGCCTGGTACATACAAAGGAAAGTCCCGGTGATAAGAGCATTTTTCCTTCTCCTCTTCTATTGCGGTTACCCGAGAGCTGACGGGAAACTCTTCCCGGGCATGCGCTGTGAGCAGTTACCTCAAATATGGCGTCCAGTGAATACCACCTACAGCAAGTTACAGCTCAAGAAGGTAGGGTGAAGGGAAGGAGGGCCGAAGAGGAGAAAGCAGACGGAAAGCTGGAGAGAGGAGATTTCCCCCTCTTTTCTTCAGCGCTCCGTCTTCTTCCTCCTCCCCTGCCTTTCTTTTCCTCGCCCTACCGTCTAGAGTTGTAGCGAACTACAGTGACATGACCGCATGCCCTGCTAGGAGCTGCACCCTCCCAAAGGTCACTTGATATTCGCACAACATTAAATTGGCTAAGTTAGCAGGTGGCGTCCCCTGCTCTCAATTCTAAGGGTAAAGGGGTAGAGAGGTGTACGCCCCCTCCCCGACACGTGTCTTCATACTTCCTCCTTCACAAAATATAATTCGGGCTAGAAAAGTTGTGAAGACCTCAAATAAATTTATTATTTGTTTAATATTAGTAAATTGTCTCCACGACGTCGTCTTTTTTTTTTTTTTTTTTTTACAACTTTACTTTTCTTTGACGCCGGCGCCGCAAATAATAAAATGCAACTAGGGCCCCCGGGGCAAAAATATTCATGGCACACACCCCTTCATACCCCACCACATCAGCTTCAACGAAACATTTTCCAGCAAACATGTAACACACCTGATATTATGGATTGGTTTCCGCTTGGGTTAATTACCAAGTGTTCTATTTCGGTTTAATTTTGGTTTAGTCTAAAATAATGTAATGCTTTGGATCCGGTTTCCGCTTCAGTGACGAAATAATCCCTGGAAAAGGGCAACAAGAGGGACAAAGGACCAACACAATTCTCCAAACACAGCTAGGTGACAGTTGCGCGACCGACAAAATCCGCCTGGTCCGCGTTGCGAACCCGGGACCGCACAATTTCCTGTGGAGCGCTCTCCCAGCTGAGCTAACCAGGGGTTGGACGTCAGTGGGTAAACATGTTTTATCAGCTGGCATCAGTCTAACACCAACAAGGGTGAAAGGTTCGCATTTTTAAGGTTATGATTATAATGCAATCGAATGCAAAGATGCAAGCGAGCTGGACACGAATGGCGAAATAATTACTGGAGAAGGAGAAAAACCCTAGTGAAAAAAGTCATTTGTATGAGAAATTTCTCGTGTCCAATAAACACATATGAAACATAAAAGATATATAAGAACATATAAGAACTATATAAGAACCATATAATTGTATAAGTTATATAAGAACCATATAAGAAACATATAAAAAACCTTCTTAGAATTTTGTAATATGGTGCTTGTATGTTCTTGTATATCTTATATAGTTCTGATATAGTTATTGTATAGTTCTTGTATGGTTCTTCTATGTACTTGTATATCTTGTATGATTCATATGTGTTTATTGGACACAGAAATTTCTCATACAAATGAGAATTTTCAATATGGAAGAGAAGCAAACGACGAACAAGTCCCCAAGCACAGATTGGCGACTGGTGCGCGACCGAAAACATCCGCCAGGTCCGGGAATCAAGCCCGGGACCTCCGCAGGGATTATTTCGTTATTCTTGTCCAGCTCGCCTGCACCTTTGCATTTAATTGCATTATAATCATAACATTAAAAATGCAAGCGTTTCACCCTTGTTGGTGCTAAGACTGGTGGCAGCTGATAAAACCTGTTTGCCATACTGACGTTTAACTCCCGGTTAGTTCAGTAGGTAGAGGGCTCAACTGGAAATGGAGAGGTCCAGGGTCTGATTACCGGACCAGGCTGATTTTTTCTGTCGCGCACAAGTCACCTAGCTGTGTTTGGAGATTTGTGTTTGTCCTTTGTCCCTCTTGTTCCCCTTCTAAATGGATTATTTCGTCAATCTTGTCCAGCTCCCTTGCACCTTTGCATCTGATTGCAATATAATCATTCCGCTTCAGGTTCGCTTCGAAACCTGGAAAGCTGCTTCAATAGCATCTTCGATTGGGTCCATGTGTGCCCTCCGGATGGCTATTGAATCCTCCATTGAGCTCTAAACTACCCGGGCAGTCGCACTGAGCGACAACTCGCGGCGCGCCCGGCACGCATGGGCACGGGTGGTGCACGGCGGTGTACCAAAAAAATCGATAATTTTGCTTTGTTCAATATTGCGGCTCACAATCGGACAATTAGTTACGGTTCTGATATAGCTGCCAGGCAACCTTCGTAATAGAAAATCTTTGCTGTGTGGGCTGTTCGTACATTGATGTGACAGAAGAGCCACGAGTTTGTGGGGATACGTTCCCCGATCGGACTCGGCACAGCCTCCAGCTTGATAAACAGAGATTAGGCGTGACACCTTTGAGCGACGACACTACTCTCACCTTCCGTCAAACATGTACAACTTACTCGAAAAAAGGTAGTTACGTCACTGAGTATCGACACCAACAGTAATTGGAGTAGAGTAGAAATTACGCATTTGTAATAGTAATTCAGTAAACTACTAACTACTGCAAAAAAGTAGCGAGTTACTGTTGAAGTTACTTTCGAAGTTACTTTTTGATATTTTTGTGGTAGCAAAATGAACAGCAGCTTTCATCCGTGAAGAACCCTGCGAGCCTAAAATAAGTGCAGTCATTTAATTGTTTGCGTTTTACCAAACTATAGTTGATTTCCTCGTAGAAGCAAGTGACTTTCAAAGTGCGTATCGGAGGGTTTTCCCCCTTTCCTTCTAAAGACGTCCCCAGCCAAGCTAAAAGACGTTCCACCGACGCGCTGGATGGGACGGCAGCGTTGAATTTTAGAAACAGGCTGTGCAGGGTCGGGTAAGCGAGTGTCGGCATCTTAGGTGTCCATGACTAAATATTTGAGGGTTGCCTCGGCTAAAAAGTCTTTTATAACAACCTCTCCTGATTTGTTTTTTCTTCAGCAGTTGAGATTGTTATGACTGGCCCCTCTTTATTTACACGACGTTCGGAGAGTACGCTGAGCGAGTGCACCTGACCGTCAAGGGTTCGTGTCTCGCGCCACGACGATGAGATCATCCGGACGACTGCGCGTCTCGTTGCAGTGGAGGTGCTACGCTACTGAAAAAAAAAATTGGTTTAACAAAGAATAAACGAAGTATACTTCGCCGCTTACGCCGGGTCCAACAAAAAAAAAAAAACTCCCAAGGATGTCTCGCAATCCTCGCTGGCGACTAGGCTATCCTGACGCGCCTGACTCGCCCTTACAAGTAAAACGTTTTCAACAAAGAGGAGGTCTGCCTGGCGTGAAAACGTCGGAAGGACGCGTAGGATTACGTGAACCAGCATCGCGCTCATACAGCTGCAGCTGGAAGGGGAACGTGTTCCCATGAACGGATTATCTGCGTCTACGTTTGTGCGCGGGGGAGTCCGCCTTTGCAAGGGAGTATACGCTGACGACGAGGCGACCAAGGGAAGAGGCGGCCAGCTGCGAAGTCATTCCAGTGGCATCTCTCGTGGAACCTACCGCTTGACTCCGAACTCACTAGAGGCAGACAACATGAAAACAACAACAATCATTGGGGTGTCCCCGTCTTTCACGGTTGCAGCTGGAGGTGCGGCGCCTGCGTGCATTACCGGATTAGTTCAGTACCCGATTAAGGCTTGTTAAGTATCTCTTATTGCGTTCGTGCACGCCGGTGTTATGTTTTGGCTGCTCGTCGCCATCTTGTACCAAGGACGCCTGTGATGCAATCTCTACGGCTGCCGAGTATAAGTGCGTGGGAACGCACTTATACTCAGTGTAAGTATAAATGTATAAGTATAAGTGCGCGGAGCATAAGTGCACCGAGTATAAGTGTGCGGGAATGCCACTTCATCTACTGGCGTCTTATTTCTTTCTCCGCTCAAACTTTTGTGATGAGCAAAATTAGCACTAGATTTATAAAGCAGTTAGTAATTTGAGTATAAGCTACCTGAGAAACGTAGTTATATTAAACTACTAATTACCAAAAAAAGTTGTAATTGAAAGTTACCAAGTTACTCGGAAAAGTAGTTAAGCTACAATGGTTTCAGTAGAGTAGTTGAACTGCGTCCAAGTCTGCCTTTCGTCTTATAATGCCGCAAATGGCAGTGATCTCATGTGTCGTCATTGGAAGAATGTGCTTTTTCTTTTGTTGTCTTAAGTTAGCTTGT